CTATCCTGCAAACACAAGAATTTAGTTATTGGTTTCTTTAACTCTTTATGGCTCCTGCACAATGCTTAATTTCATTCATTTTCTCAGTAAGAAGAGGGAAGAAAACTGACAGTTTAAGGAGAGAAAGTAGGAGATACTGAATAGTAACTATGAAACATACATAAAGTAGTATGATAATATAAACCAAAAAATAAAATTCTGAGACCCCCTAACCATCTAAATGGAACCCTCCTCTTGGCCCAGGGTATTCCAAAGTTAACCTGAAAAACTCGTTCAGGTTATGAGGGAAGGGGAGGGTTGGACATGCCTCACTATACCCTCCTCTCTTTTGGAATTCAGGCATTAACTCAACTCAGATCTTAAGTCTGATAAGAAACAATTACAATCTATTGTCTCTGAAGCCTGCTACCTGGAGGATTCATCTGAATGATAAAACCTTGGTCTCCATAATCCCTTTTTATAACCCAGACATTCCTTTCTATTGATAATAACTCTTTCAACCAATTGCCATTCAGAACATTTTTAAATCTACCTGTGAATTGAAACCTCCCCCATTCCACCCACTTCAAGTGGTCTCACCCTTCTAGATTGAATCAATGTACATTTTACATGTATTTCATTGATGTCTTATGCCTCACTAAAATTTATAAAACTAGGCTGTGCCCCAACCACTGTAGGCACATGTTCTCAGAATCTCCCAAGGGCTGTGTCACAAACCAGTGGTCACTCATATTTGGCTTAGAATAAATCTCTTCAAATATTTAACAGAGTTTTCTCTTTACATCAATAATAACTAAGCACAAACCTTTTACTTTGGGCTTCCTTGCTTTTAGCAGAGTAGGTTAAACTTGATTTGATTCTCTAACTTCTTCATTTGACTTAGTCCAGTGGTGGTCCCCAAACATTCCAGATTCCAATTACCTTTACTCAGTGATCCTCAAACTGTGTCCCTTGTGTAAGTGTTAAAGAAAGAAGAAAGAAACACAAAAAGTGGCTCAACAGTCAAAGACAAGTTTATTTTGGAGAATAAACATGAGAGGGGCTTCTGGCTGATTTTTGGTATTCTCTCTTACAGACTAAGAGTATTTATTGGTTTTAGGGTAAGAAAATTTATCACAGACTTGGAATGTTTCTGTACAGGGGAGAAGTCTATTGCAGGGTTGGACTGTCTCTGGTCAGAGAGGAGGTTACCTTGGGGCTGACATGTCTCTGGTCAGGGAGGGATTTGGAATGTTTCTGGTCAGAGATGTCATTTGTGGTTTATGGTCATGCTGGCCTTAGCCATTAGCCTAATGCCCTTTGGATTTAGGCAGTTTTGTTCAAGGTGAACTTTAAAATGGCAGCGCTTGTCCAAGGTGGTGGTGCTCCTGCTTTGGCACCTTGTCCTGTGACATGTTCATCACCATTCCATGGGGAAAGTAAAAGAACGGGGGTTTCCATGGTGAAATAACCTTGGAAAACATTGATGAACAAGGTTAAGTAAGTTTCTTTTCTGAAATTTCTCAGGTCCTATTTATGTATAAACCACCAGGAGAGGGTGGAATGCATACACAGTATTTCTCCAACGTATTTAACCATGAAAGTGTTCTCATTGCGCATATGTAAAGTGGAAATATGTTGCTTTAATTGGAAGGGAAAATGTTAATGATAAAACAGCAGGTAATATGGAAGATTTACATACCTGAATAAAAGAAAATGTTTTGAACACTGATAAAATTACAGAAATTTAAACAACCATTAATACAATCCTTGTAGTAATAGCATTGTTTTATCACCAAGATTTTACAGATGAAGAATTTGAAACTCAAAGATGAAAACAAAGTCTTACAGCTAGTAAGTGAAGGAAGTAGCTGCTTCCATGAATTGAAGTACTTCTCAAATACCTGGAATTACAAAATGAGAGAAAAGAAGACTGGTAAATGAAAGAGAATGATTATTCCAGGATATGTATGCACAACTTCCTTACATTTTCCATTTTTTCAGCCCTAAAATATGTTAACTGAAATCTACAAAGAGTAAGAGGGAAAAGGTAAGTACTAACAATATATAAAGTAGAAAGAAAATGTGAATTGATCTATGAAAAAGCACAAGACGCCACATAAAAGATTGTCTGTGGTGTTTTCTTTTTCATACTTTAAGACCACAGTTACTTTACTCTTTATGGGGTAACTTTAATAGCAGGTCCAGTGAGGCACATGAGTAGTAAGTCTGTATTGTAATGGTCCTGCTTTCCTTTGCACGTAGAACCAGTTAGATTAAGTCAGAGACATGTTTAAAACTATATGGGTTTAAAAAGGGACTGGTTCTACAATCTGCAGTGAACGTTTTTTTTTTCCTGCTTTCTAGGCCCCATGATAGATGGATGATTGGTAGATAGATAATAATAGATGATAGATAGATGATAGACAGAATGCCCAGATGCATACATATACACATACACCTATATATTAATCACATATACATTTGTTATATATGGGTAATTGGTACTGTTGTCAGTGAACAATAATATCTTGCAAGTGTATCCACCAATGTAACTTGAGAAGTTATTTTTATAAATTGGATATTTGGATATAGTTTCATGATTGGATCAGATTGTCTGATACAGATGATTTTCCTGAGAAGCTACCACTCCATCTCCCAGAATGAGAACATCCAAAGAAATTTTGGTGGGCCTGTATTACAGATTTCCTCTCCTGAAAGAAACCTAAAACCTCAAGTCACAAAATTACTAGGCTGTGGCCAACAGATCACTTTGCAATACTTAGACATTAAGTTCAGTCAACATTCTTTCTCATTAGAAGCACTAATACTGCAATCTGTGCCTTAAAGGAAGGTCATGCCTCTGAGTGAGTGATTATTACCTAACTGCTTGAAGGATATTTCCAGACAGGTGGCCTGGAAACCTTTTACATATTATCCACCATCCTTGAACCCTTTTAATCCTTTGCCTCCTGGATATCTTAGAGAAAATGAACCAACACAACACAGCTTTCAGTTTTTGAGCATTTTCCCCAAACAAAACAGTGTCTACTTGATCTTCCCAATGACCTCATAAACAGGAAAGGCAAGTCCTTTCATTACCATTTTTAAGACACACAGGGCCAGGATTATATAGCCACAGGAAGCAGGACTCCAGATTTCAAGTCCAGCATCTTAACGTGACGACCTTGGTAACTGCATGAATGAACTGGATAGTAAAGTGAAGTTATTACTGAGAACTTTCAATGAATAAAACTTTTGCATTTTGTGCCTACATTTTACAGAGGGTGATATTTTTCTGAGACAATCAAACTTACACCACCGCCGCAATACAGAAACATTCTGACCAACAAAGTCATGCTCCTGACTCTGCAGAGAAGATAACTGCCTAAAGTGCTTCCTTTCTTCCTTTGTAAACTAGCCCGAAAACAGCTCCCCCTTGCCGTATTTCGAGGTATATCCTCACCAAAGTTAACACCGAGCTGAGGGAGATAGGATTTCTGCCTCCCTCTGGCCCTCCAGAGGGGCTCCAGCTGTTCAGAATAAGGAATTCCTGGGTAAGTAAGTGGTGGTATCTCCTCCTGAGGGCCTCTTTTCTCTCTTGATATTTGCTCTTTCTCACTCCTGAACGCTGGAGCCTGGAGGGTTTTTTCTGTCCTTTGCCCTGGACAGTACTGCCTGGGTGACCACTGTCTGGCAGCTGCTCTTTGTCCACCCAAAAAGATGTCCCCACGACTCAGTAGTAACCAGACAGTCCCCAGGGGACTACTACGGCCAAATTTCCGCTATCCCCGCTATGGGAATCAGGCTTTTCCTGCAGAAAACGCCAGGAATCAGACACATGCACACGAATGTTCATTGCAGCACTGTTTACAATAGCAAAGACCTGGAACCAACCCAAATGCCCATCGATGATAGACTGGAATGGGAAAATGTGGCACATATACACCATGCAATATTATGCAGCAATCAAAAACGATGAATTCGTGTTTTTTGTAGGGACATGGATGAATCTGGAGAACATCATTCTCAGCAAACTGACACAAGAACAGAAAATGAAATATCACATATTCTCACTCATAGGCGGGTGATGAAAAATGAGAACACATGGACACAGGGAAGGGAGTACTAAATACTGGGGTCTATTGGGGGGAATAGGGGAGGGACAGCGGGGGGGGGGAGCTGGGGAGGGATAGCCTGAGGAGAAATGCCAAATGTGGGTGAACGGGAGGAAGGCAGCAAAGCACACTGCCATGTGTGTACCTATGCAACTGTCTTGCATGTTCTGCACATGTACCCCAAAACCTAAAATGAAATAAAAAAAATTTTTTAATTAAAAAAAAAAAAAGAAAAGAAAATGCCAGGAATCTAGAGAAAACTCCCTAAGTCCCTAGGCCCCAAGGAGACACTCCGCCACCCCACCCGCTGTGAATACCAGCACAGCAGCCCCTGGGGCTGCAATGTGATAAGTGTGTTCTTCCCGTCGCAAACACAAGGTAACAAACAGCATGCATCAAAGACTATACTAGGAAGAGATAGCCCTTTAGGACGCACCGTTCTTCCTCTGCAGATGGGGAGTGGGGAGGAGCGAGCAGGGAGAAATGTTTGTCCCGGGAAAATTTGCCTCGGGAATAAAATTTGCCAGACTAGCTGCACCAGGATGAGCTCGGTGAGAAGGAAGAAACCCACTTTGGAGGAGGTGAGGTTGAGTGCCAGGTTCAGGGGCAAGAGTTCGCGCACCGGTGCGTGGACAGGAGATTTTCAGGTCCCGCGCTTAGCCTGTTCAAGTCAAATGCATGGTTAAGGAGGCTAGTGAGGGAAGCTTGAGGAAACGACCGTGAGCCCAGAAAAGGCATGACACGTCCCAGATTTGGAAGTCAGGAGCGGGAAGGCGCCACGATCCCGCCTACTGTGCGGAGGAATCGGCAAGTCTCCCAGCTCCACCCCCGCAGCAGTGATGCAAAGAGGACAAACACCGACGTAGGGAGAGGAAAAAAAAAAGAAAAACTCCAGGGAGCGGGGAGTAGGCAACCAGCAGTTTTCCGCCACTAGAGCGAGAGGGACCAAATCCTGAGGAAACAAGCACGGCATAAATACTTGAGTTGGGAACCCAGTGCTTCCAGAAGCTCGGAGCGCACCTTCTCGACTTCGCTAAAGTTGAAAAAAGGCAGAGCAGGGAGAGAGGCCGGCTCACCCTGCTGAGAGCTGCTCCGTGAGCAGGCGGGACGCTGTTCCGGGAGACGCCCGCGGGAGGGTTCGCAGAACCCGGCCAGCGGCAAGCGCGCGAAGGAGGCGAGGACGGTGCTCTCGGGGGCGTGGAGCCCAAGTCCTGCGAGGCGGGGAGGGAGCGGCCCGCGAGAGCTGGGGCTCCGAGGAAGGCGAGTAGGCGCTGCCTAGACAGCATGCGTTTCTCCACCGGCCCGGATGCGGGCCCCTCGGGCAACTCCAGCCCATGGTGGCCTCTGGTCACCGGCGGTGCCAACACGAGCCAGGAGACCGAACCCTTTGGAGAAGGTAATGGCCCGCCAAAAGACGAGCGCAACGAGGAGCTAGCCAAACTGGAGATCGCCGTGCTGGCGGTGACCTTCGCAGTGGCCGTGCTGGGCAACAGCAGTGTGCTGCTGGCGCTGCACCGGACGCCGCGCAAGACTTCCCGCATGCACCTCTTTATCCGACACCTCAGCCTGGCCGACCTGGCCGTCGCCTTCTTCCAGGTGCTGCCGCAGATGTGCTGGGACATCACCTACCGCTTCCGCGGCCCCGACTGGCTGTGCCGCGTGGTGAAGCACCTGCAGGTGTTTGGCATGTTCGCATCGGCCTACATGCTAGTAGTCATGACGGCAGACCGCTACATCGCGGTGTGCCACCCGCTCAAGACTCTGCAACAGCCCGCGCGCCGCTCGCGCCTCATGATAGGGGCCGCCTGGGTGCTGAGCTTCCTGCTGAGCACGCCGCAGTACTTCGTCTTCTCCATGATCGAGGTGAACAATGTCACCAAGGCCCGCGACTGCTGGGCCACCTTCATCCAGCCCTGGGGTCCCCGTGCCTACGTGACCTGGATGACGGGCGGCATCTTCGTGGCGCCCGTGGTCATCTTGGGTACCTGCTACGGCTTCATCTGCTGCAACATCTGGCGCAACGTCCGCGGGAAGACCGCGTCGCGCCAGAACAAGGGCGCAGAGCAAGCGGGTGGTGCCTTCCAAAAGGGGTTCCTGCTCGCGCCTTGTGTCAGTAGCGTGAAGTCCATTTCCCGCGCCAAGATCCGCACGGTGAAGATGACTTTTGTGATCGTGACGGCTTACATCATTTGCTGGGCACCTTTTTTCATCATCCAGATGTGGTCTGTCTGGGATGCGAACTCCATCTGGACCGGTACGTGCCGGGAAAATGGAGGAAAGTGCAGGGATAGATGTGTGTGTGTGTGTGTGTGTGTGTGTGTGTGTGTGTGTGTGTGTGTGTGTAAGAGAGAATATAGCATTTCTTTTCATCGTATCTTCTAGGGCAGTAGTTTTTAAACTTCTGTGTGTACATACAGTCGCACCCTAGAGTAACACTGTTAGGAAAAAGAAAAGCAAATCTCTGGATTCCCCACGCAGACATTCTAATTAAGAATGTTTGGAATAGGGCCCAGGACTCTGCATTTGTAGTGTGCAATGATGCTAAGACCATAATTCCAGAAACTGTGTCTTAGAGTCAGCCAGACAATTACAACGAATAATGACTTTCTGCCAAATCACTAGCTACTGTATTAATACCATTTCAAGTCTATTGGATTCAGGGAAATATTTTTACTGTCACAACTGCTTTTTGTTGGATTGTGAAACGTATTACAATTACTTTTTTAAATGTGTAGAAATGCCTCAGGGGCAAGTATAGAAACAGACATGCTTCTAAGGAAAGCTAGAGAAAGATTCTTTAGAAATTGAGTAATTCCAATTTGGCATTTAGCTAATAATGTTCTTCTCATTATAATCTATTTTTTTCCAAGAATGATTAACGCTTTTTTCTTGGTATTTCAAAGCAGGATTATTGATCATCTAAATTTGTTAGACTGATTTATTAGTCTTTCACCACTAATTTGACCACACGGCTCTATATGTCTCCATATAACTCTTACAGTAATTTACTGGAAATGTTCTCTACACCTACTACTGTGTTTGCTTTTAATTTCTTCCCAAACTAGGAAAACTAACTTCGTGGTGGCTTGCAAAAAATAAATTATTTAATTTTTGCATCTTGAAAATATCTTCTTCTAGTAAAGACAAAAACAAATTTCAATGCTTGTTGAAACTCAAACCAAATAAATTCCAATGGCACAGTTGTTATCAGAATGTTTCTGGTAACAGGAAATAGGTATCTGGGAGTAGCTGTCTACCCTTTCACTTTTTGGAATTGGAGTAGGGGAGGCATGTAATATACTTTGGAAGTTATATTTGCAAATAGAACATTTCCATATGAATTTAACTTAAATATTCTTACAGACTATAATATTAGCGCTAATAAAAAATACAATAGAAACACTTTATTTCTGGTTTACTATCATCTTGCTTGATCTTAGAAGCCTCTTAACATTGCCAATCAAATAAAGAAATTCAGTCCAATTATTGCTTTAGCAGGATTTACACACAAGTAAGAAAAACTTCACCTTTGCATAGATAGGTTGGTGATTTTCATTCTTTGTGAACACCGTCTTACCCATGGCTCCTGATCACCTCTGAAAGCAGCATCTTAGCACAAAGTATAATTAAATAATAACCTGTAATTGTTTTCTGGCATAAAAAGAGTAAGAAGATCCAAGCTTATATGTAATAATCAAGGAAAAGTTGGTGTTTATTGTTATTTTTAGAAAAGGTATATTATCAACACAGTAGCTCCACTATGAAAGGTTATACTATTTGTGCAGTTTTCCAGTGCTAATTATCATAAAATATTTTAGAATCTTATTGGAATTTTCTAATTCTGCTGTTCATCTTAATATAATTTGTTTGAACCACAATTACAGATGGCTTTCTTTTCAAATCAAACCAAATTTCTAACCAAAAAATAACAACTAAAGCTTATACCATCCAGGGACTTCTGTACAGTTTTCACATTACAAGGATATTTAAAACTACTAAATTTGATCCCTAATGCCATATTTTTTCCTGAGTTATTAGGATAAATATAATTTAGTATACATAGTTATTACGGACCCTTAAAATTTCATTAAAATTGTAGCCATTCCGTAACTTCTGTGTTCATTAGCACAGTTTGAGTATAGAAGATACAGATTTTTAAAAATGAATTATTTAATAGATGAAACCTCTGAAAATTTCCATTTATTATATTTAAATATTTTGATAGTGTTTTAAAAATACTTGCATTAATTTTAAGGTGTCTTGCTTACAAAAATATTTTATAGTCAAGCAATTTTCAAACATTCCCAGTCTCCCTGATTGATAAATGAAATAGTTCATTTTCTATGCTAATCTAAAATGTTTTCCTTTTTAATTCGTTAATAGAAAAATGAGTTCATCCAGGGCTCAGTTACTTACATTACATAATTTCCCTTTATATTTTTTATGCAGAATCGGAAAACCCTACCATCACCATCACTGCATTACTGGCTTCCTTGAATAGCTGCTGCAATCCCTGGATATACATGTTTTTTAGTGGCCATCTCCTTCAAGACTGTATTCAAAGCTTCCTGTGCTGCCAAAACTTGAAGGAAAAATTCAACAAAGAAGACACTGACAGTACGAGCAGGAAACAGACTTTTTACTCTAACTACCGAAGCCCAACAAACAGTACAGTTACATGGAAGGACTCACCTAAATCTTCCAGGTCCATCAAATTCATTCCTGTTTCAACTTGAGTCTTGAGTTCATGCAACTTGACTCTTGTGATTGACTTTTAGACCCATTAGATGAATTGAGCTAGAAATCACAAGAAAAAATGTACTTTATTGATACAACCATAAATCAATTCATTGGGAACAAGACTGTATTTCTAGTTGCATTTTCACCTTCCTACCAAAAAGTATATATTATTTTATACGGAATATTAATGAAAACATGCTGTACTAAAAAGTACAGGTCTAATTCCTGGAAATACACAGAAGTTATATTTTTAAAGGAAAAAGTATAACCACCCTAGCGTTATATTTTGTTATTGGTTTCTTTTATTTTCATTTCTAATGTAAATAAGACTTGATGGGTTTAAAAGTCATATAATGTATGGCACCGCTTCTGAACAAAAAGAGCTCATCATCAGCCTTAGTATTTAGAGAAAACGTCAGAGAAATTATGTTTTCATCCAATAAAATTAAGTTGTGCATCAGAAAATGCAGCCTTAAACGGTGTCCTGAAGATGAGTTGGCACCTCCAAGAGACACAAGTACCTAGGGCATAATGAGCAGGAGGTGGCCAGTGCAGAATGAATGGGGAAAGGTCTGTTAGAAACTATCAATTACCCTGCGTTTCAAAATGGTAACTTTGCAACTGGCCACGCCCTTCTTTCGGTTCTTCACATATTATTGGTCAAGGAAAGCACAATTACTAAGATGCTGAAGGTGAAAAGAAATGTTGTTGACTGGCCAAAAATATCTTTTTTCCCCTATTGTGAGGTTGATTTATAGTCAGATTTGTATGAGGTAAGCCAGATTTTATTAAAGAATAGAAAACGATTGCTTAAGGTACTCTGTAGACTTTATCTTGAACTTGGTAAACATACGATGATCAGTGTTATAAGGGTATCCTGTGCTATGTTGGATATGAACAAGATCATCTTCATGTTTGGTGAATTCAGATTCATAGTATGAGTATCCTAAAGAGTGACTCAGGATGTAAAGTGTCCTCACATATTTAATTAAAACTAGCTTTGTCTTTCCAATCTCTCAGTCATCTAACACTTGCAAAGCAGAGATGAGACAGGGTTCGAACATGAGTGACAGATGGAAAGAGAACTGTTCTGTGCCCAGACTGGCTTCTTCCTCCATTATTAAATGCTTGACTTTAGGCACGTTTCTTAAACACATGTAAAGCCTCTGTTTTTGTTTTTTTTTTTTGTTTGTTTGTTTGTTTGTTTTACAGTGCAGTTGATAACACTTACCTCACAGGGTTGTTGTGAAGACTAAATAAAACCAAATATGTAAAAAGAGCTTCAAAAATAGTAAAGTACTATACACATGCTAGCTTTTATTATAGCCTTGGGATCTCCAAAATTGCACAGATGTATTCCAGTTTATTTTTCATTAACTAGAATTGGTTCATTTCATGACTGGCATATACAATTCTAAAATTTAAATATAGATCTGCTGATTCACTGGACAGCATTTCCAGTGACCACTCAGCTTGACTTCTCCTGCCTGACTAAAATTTTCCAATTTAAAGATAGAACTTGCTTTTCTTTGAATGCAGGTAGATCAAAGCCAGCTATGAGCATCATTTTTTCTTCATTTTTAAAGGGATCAATTATACCACTTTGGCTGTTATTACATTTCTTATTAATGAAACTCAGTGGTTTTTTTTTTTTCTAGCTACTTTGTCTGGTTTCTTCTTCTTAGAGATCATGCAATGATTTGAGGATACATCATAAATATTTTGCATCCCTGAGAGGAAGTAATAGTTGCTTTTAATAGTGTTATTGACTTTCTTTTTTTAACTTTGTAGATAAGAAAATCGGAACTGGAAGGCACCGTAAAAACCTAAAAGCAAAATCTTCGCTCCTCTTCATTCTCCTGCCTTTCAAAATTCTCAGCCCTTTGGCTCCCTGTATTGATACGCCTTAAAAAAAAGTTTCCAAATGCTTTATAGAGGTTAGCCCCCTAGGTTTTCAAATTCTTCTCTTCAAAAATAACAAGTCTGTCTTTTAAAGGGTACTGTCCAATATAAGCCATCAACTAAATTAATTATTATTTGAATTAGAGCAGTATTTCAGTAACCCAACACTCTAAGACTGTGAGTGCTTTTGACAACTCTTTGATAGTTCAAAAACTAAAGCCTTTTGGTTTGGAACTAAGATGAACCCATTTTTTTTCTAAATTCATTTCCAAAGTAAGAACCTCAGAACCTATAGACCCTGCTTCAAAGTGTTGATATGTACCCCTAAGCAAAACAATTCAATTTCAATGTTATTTCTGAGAACAGCTCTCAAATAAAGTTCATATCAATCTACCCAGCTGTATTTTCTCCCTTTAAACGTATTGAGAGGTGAGATAGAGAAAATGGGCTGGAGAGACATGAGATCTGGGTGCTAGTTCTGCACCAGGCAAATACATGGTTTTATTCTCTGCGGTTTAGGCTGAGAAGTTTCATCTGTCTCGTTGCTAAATTTTCTCAGTGTTATGCACCCAGAAATGGAATTCACATATCTCAAAACAATATTTCAAATATGAAGGAAACTACCTGCCTATCTATTTCAGAAGAAGGGAAACTGAAAAAGTATTCTGGGAAGGGAAGTTTTCCTTTTCTTGACCAAAGAGAAGACCTGAGATATTATGCCAAAATGACAGCTTACAGTCAAGAAAAAATGTGGTGCAGTACCTTATTTTATTTTTCACAGTTAGCAGTGGGAAGATCCTGCAAGAACACAATTTTAATGCCTCTATGTGATTATTAGGAATGTTATACATAAAAAGTATCCATAAATAGAGGGAAACTAGTCTATTGGGCATTTGATGAATATTAACTGATGATGGTAAAGAAACAATTTAGAGTGCATTATTAAGTGCTTAATGGGTTAATTTTGGAGTGTATATTGTAAGGTGTAAAACTACTAGGCTTTTATTTTGAAATTTCATTTGGAATACAGTTGTGAAGGAAATTAGTGAAATTCTTGAGTTAATTATATACTTGTTCTATATATAGAATTTCCATCATCTTCCAAGAAGTCTTATGCCATGATTGAGGGAAGGGTGTTGTTTTAGAGAAAAAATACTAAGCAGTCTTAATGATACATAGGTCTGACAAGCTTACTACAGTTTCTAAAATGGACAACCGCTAACGATTAAGAAACACACTTTCATCTGTTATTACACACGTGAAAAAACCCAATTAAGTTAAAGTTTGATGTCTTTCAGACTCTGAAGCCTATATTTTTGTAACTTAATTGGACTTTTGGAGTGTTAAATTATGGCTTCAGAGTTTGACTCTACCTAAAATATAGTTAGACGCCAATTAGGGAGAAATCAAACCTAACCCTTCATGCCAAATATCAGACATTAGACAAACCCATGTTAATTGGAGCCCTATGGATATTTGCATTGGAGGCAATAGCTTTATTTAGAGTAAGCCCAGGACAGGACTGTCTGGGATGCTAGTTCTGGAAGTGTAGAAGCAGCCACTGTATCCCTGCCCACCCCTTCCATGAACCCTTTTGGTACCACTCAGTGTCATTGGCAACATTTGGAATCATAAGTAACAGAGGAGCTGAAGTAGTAGGTCCTTTTCTTCATTAGAGAATGACTGTTGATTAGAATTGGACCTCAGCCAATTTGAGCCAAAATTTAAGAACTATTCAGAAGAAAGTTTTTTTTTTTTGAGTGCCTAAGACAGTGTAAATAGTTCAAATCATACAAATTGTATGGTTCCATTTTATGCATAAGCATCTTAAGAATATTGTTTTAACATAATTATTAGGCATACTAAATTACAATAAATGAAAATGTATATGTGACCTGTAGTATGTCACATATTATTATGGCTAAATATTAAATACCCTTTTTTATGTATTTGTGTATGTATATACCCACATTTTTACATTGATTTATATTCTAAATAATAATTAAAGTATTATAGAATGAATAAAATATTTTTGTGTTCCAGGGTTAAATTATTAATAACAAATTCAGGAGAGAAAATCTGAGGATAAATTTGATATAAATACCAGAATAATCATTATTAATATAAAACAGTATTTTCACACTGAAGGTAGTTGTCTTCATACTACAGAATTTCTGACTTAAATATATTCTATAATGCTTTAATTCATTACCATAACAAATGAACTAAGAATTAATGTTACATCTTAGTATTCCATTTTTTGGAACTGTTTTTCAAATGTTCTATATCTCCTTGATTATTATGCTATGTAAAATAATTTCAGTGTGTTCTTCCAGGGCCAATTGAATGATTCTTATTTTGAGTGGGTGTTAAAATGTTTTGTGATAATATCTAATATTTGGTCCTTTACAGAAAAAAATGGCTTGTGGTACTATTTGAAATAACTAGTGTATTTTTTCCTTAATTTTACTGTGTGTTGGCTTGTTTCTATAAATAAAAATAAGTTTTGGATTTGTTTGAAAATATTATTTTACAACTTAGTTTGATAATGAAATGTATTTCAAGTTAATTATATTGACTTTGAAAAACTAGAGACTGGTTTTACAGTTGGTAGTTATTGATAGATTGGTATTCGAGCACAAAAATATTTGTGCTTTAGTGACGATAGCAAGAATAAGTGAAACTTTGTAACTGCCCTTTCAATAAATTATAATTAAGGAATCAAATCAATTTTGTTATAGTCTGTATTTAGACAACCAAAATGATTGAGGTTAGCTGAGGTCATGTTTTCAGCCCTAAAAAACATCATCTATGTGCATTTATTTCTTGACGTTGGTAAGACTGACTTCTAGGGCCTAAAGAGTAAAAATATTTCCATTTAATAGTCTTCAAAATTAGAATTTTTTTCCCAGTAGACTAATGTATTTAAATTATATTAACTTTATAACTTATGTTGTCTAACTTTTTTTTCCTTTTACAAGTCGAATCTTAATAGCATGAACTAAAAGGTTTATTTTGGGTTTGGCTTAAACCATAGAAGCAGGGAATGCCCAGAATGGAAGAAAAAGAATTTAAAATATCTATTTTAAAATACCACTGTTATTTTAAAAGATTTATAATTTTATAATTTCCTAAAAATAAACAATATTTCTACCAAACCACATTTTCACAAAGTCCTATGAATCAGGTAAAACTAAAATAATAGTTTCACTGTACAGCAGAAGAGACCTGTAAAGAAATTCATAAAGAAATATTTTTAGTACCAGTCATATAAAAGATATTCAATTAATGGAATTAACGTAGATATTCTAAATACATGTATATATACACAGACACACACATATGTATATAGTAATCTATATGTGGTGTTATAAAATATCATGAATGTATATAATACAAAGCTTTAATTACAAGAAGCAGTAATGTATGCTGACAAAAGTACCACAGGAGAGAACCAGGAGCTCTGGTGTTTTTACCATCTGGAGGTGAATGATCTTAGGAAAGTCACTCTAATACATCTGGGTGCCTAAGTAATATTATCTTGGTTGAAAAAAAAAAAGATTTACAGATTCAAGACCAAACTTAAAATAATCCTAATAGAAAGACTTTGTCACCACCACAGTAATGGACACTTGTACTTAGGCACAACACAGTGGGATTTCAGTAGAACTTAAAGTATACGCTTATAACCCCCGACCCCTGCCAGAAAATCCAGCTTTTATGGTTCACCAAAGCATCCACGTTTTTACACAACTGCATCCCATAAGCTTCTGTCACATAAATTGCTGTAGCCTGAAAGGATGTCCCTACACTGTAACTCTCTGTGCTTACTCTTGCTTTTACTTTTCAAATAAAGTACTTTTATCTCATTCACTGTGCAAAGTTCGTGCCTATCCTTAGATCTTAAAGCAATCTTGAGGGTTATTATGAATTCATGTTTCTGTTGTTCGCCAATCCACAGCTCATTAGCCTACTTCTCATGACTACTTTTTCTTCACTAGTTCCCTGACCATTTTTCTGCCTTGTGTAATGAGGTTTCCCTGAAGGTTAGAGGGTCATGTGAGAGCTTAGATTATGCATCCAAAGAGACAGGGATTCATATTCACTATGCTAAAGTCCATGTACATCCCTTCTAAGGGGGATTAGTCTCCTATCATCCTTCTCTTTATAAACTTGCTGGCTGCCATCTTGCTTAGGTTTCCTCTCTTCACCAAGACCCCAAAACTTTGGTTTTCCTTCTGCCAGAAAGGAACATTTCTCCCACATTCTTAGGTAGACGGATTTAGCCTTTTGTTGTCTAAAATACTCTTACTTGGACCATGTATTTCAAAACAGTGCATTGTCTTTAAGATGTTTTTCCTAAGCAAAAGAGTCATTCTCATCCAAAAAGGCATGTTGCCTTTTTCCTAGATCAAAGAGTTCTACCTACATTGAGCTTTTAAAGTACCATTTAAAAAAATTATTTTATGTTAGTTGTGAAACATATATAAGGGTACCTAAATAATTCAGATTTTTGCCCTTTTTATGTATCTGTGCAAATCTCATACAGTTGTTATTTCTTCATGTTGAACTGCCCTCCATTCCCATAGGCACAAGTAACAAGATCATCTCAAGATAGTCTATCAGATATACATCCCATAGTACTTTAAATGGAAACCAATCTCAGGTGACTGGTTTTTCTATTTCTTCTTAATTATTGTATGTATTGTTCATGTTGATATGCAAATTCTGTAACATTTATTTCCACACAGTCAAGCACAAGCAAATGCAGAGGTGAATGTGTTACATTGTATTAATAATATCCACTGTGACCTTAATGTCCTAGTCCAGATTGTTACCTCAGCTTACCTAATTATATTTTATTACATTTCAGTGTCATGTAAGATAGATTCAACAACATCTGTATGATATTTTAAAACAAATCAAAATATTTTTTTAAAATCCTGCCACAACTAGTCTTTCACCTGGGTCAGATGCCAGCCAAAATCTCTGCCAGAAAGATTTGTATCCCTCTTCACTCCACATTCTTTATACCAATTCCATTTCCCAGCTGTGACTCAGCTTTTAGGCAATAGAACCAAGTTGTTCAAAGGAACAGGGCTCTTTCACAATCTGAATATGAGTCAAGTGTCTTGCTCCCTGGGTCCTGCAGTTTGTCCGTGAGAAAAACAGGGCCTAATCCACATCCAAGAACACGGAAGATATGTTTACTCCTAAGGAGCTCTTGAAAGGAAAAGAACACTGTCCATCAACATTGAAAGCCTTCTGAAAACCCAAAGAAGCCAATGCATTCAGTTATAACACAGAGCTTGGATAAGATTCTTATCTAACTCTAATTTTTCAAAAGAACTGAACATAAACTACAAAAATTTGAAGGATATTTCAACTGGTAATTATCCTTCAATTGCTTCAAATGGGGTATCAAATAATCTACTCCACCCCTGACTCAAAGCAATGCAGATAAACAGCTAAGGATGCCCAGGATGAGAAGAGGGATCCTAATGACAAGGACAGAAGAGGAAAATATGCCATTTGGAAGTTCTTGGAAAATATGCATAATGTCTTCTTTTCCTAATCTATTTTAAGTTACAGTTAATATGGTGAAGAATTCTTCAGGAACTTCAATAAGATTATAGGTTAGATAACTATAAAAATGACCTTTCAGGGATTATTTTTTTAAATGACTTAACCCTGCCTAGGCAAAGTTGGTAAGCTAATAGTTAAAATTGTTCAATAAAGAAAGAACAATGTTCAGATAAATCTTGAATTTATAGTCATTTACACACGTAGTATGGGAATGAATGCTTTGAATAAGGTATTATTTTGGTGTGAAACATAGGCTAAAAATTTCAGAGTTCATTTGTTCTAAACCACTCACTGCTTTTTCTGTTTCTGTTATGGAAGTTGTTCAAGTCTGTGCTTTCCAAGGCCTTTGTGTTTCAGTTGACATTCCAGGAGATAAGCAACTTCAGGATCTTTGGAAAACAGAATGTTAATATGATTTATGGCTTCATTAGGATGAGAAGCTATTAAAATGAGCCTTTACCATTTCAAATCTTTTTGATTAAATTTCTTTGTAGAAAATAGAGGCATGTGAACAGCTTCAGCTTGGTAGTTCTATCGGTAAATGAGAGCTAATGGGACACCTATCATTCATTAGATTTCATGAATTTTAATGTTTTGTCTTGAATATTTTAGACTTAATTAGGTGTTATTTTCGTCTCTAAATGCAGAAAATGTGTCTCTGAACAACATTTCAGGAAGAGAGAAAAGATAATTCCTCATCAGCTATAACTTCTTTAACCTTGAAAAGGGTCCCTATTTCCAGCCATCTTGTGCATGGCTTTTCCATTTGCCCCTCCAGCTTGGGGCTGAATCGGGGAAAGGGGCAGAGCTAAATGTAGATCTGTAAATTCGAATTTCGACTTCCTAGTATAAATATATTTTTCTCCTTCCCTGGAACTGGTTTCCAACATCGATAAATCACCATTTTATGCTGGCCCATCTAGTCAGGTAATGAACCCCTTTTCCCAAGTTCATTAGCTTCTACCCCAGCCTGGCTTCTGCCCATTTTCACCTGGAGATCAACGCCTTCCCCTTGCCCTTTTAGCATTGCTTACAAGGCTCTTATCAGCTCACTGGTCTTCATATTCTGCTCCTTCATAATAGTATTCCTTACTAAGTGCTACTTCCTAAAAGTAGAACTACGATTTGATCCACAATCCCACTACTGGATATCTCCTCAGAGGAAAAGAAGTCATTATTTGAAAAAGACACTTGGACACACATGTTTATAGTGGCACACATCAAAATTGCAAAATTGTGGAACCAACCCAAATGCCAAATAATTAAAATCAATATCTCAAATGGATATATACATTCCCATGTTCATTGCAGCATTATCCACAATAGCCAAGACATAGAAGCAGCCTATACACCCATTGACAGGTGAATGGACAAAGAAAATGAGGGATATACCACAATAGATTTTTATTCAGCCATAAAAAAGAAGGAAATCCTGCCATAGGCAACAAGTGAATGAACCTTGAGGAGTTTATGCTAAGGGAAATTAGCCAGTCATATAAGAACAAACACTGCATCATTCCATTTATATGAGCTATCTAAAATGGTCAAACCCATAGAAGTAGAAAGTGGAATGGTGGTAGCCAGGGGCTGAGGGAAATAGGAAATAGGGAGTTGTTGTCCAATGGGTATAAAGGTTTGGTTATATGAGATGAATCAGTTCTATAGATCTGATGTACAATATTGCACTGGTCAGTACCATACTATACACCTGAAAATTTGTTAAGACAGTGGATCTTATGTTATCTCTTTTACCACAATAAAGAAATGTTAATGCCCAACATTAATAGGATATTGTAAAATTCTTTATAACCATCTAGCTAGACTGTAAATTGCTACAACATTTTCTGAAAATGATCTGTAATATACCAAAAGCTTTAAAATATTTATATAATTTGGAACAAAAAATATCATTGCAAAACTTTATA